CATCCTTAATAAACGATACTAAATCCTTGGAAGAGCAGTATTGACCTACCTGAAAGGATAAGCCGTAGGGAGACCACACTTTGTAACCTTAGCACGTGGGAACTGTGCTTATCCTGAAAGCTTAAAAAGTGTTAAAAAAAGGGACACACTGAAGAAATCTCCTTTCGATACGGTAAAAAAAAACGAGCCAGTGAAAGCAGAGTCCACTCATCCTTCACTTTGGCCAAAGACGAAACTTTACGGAGCTTTACCCTCGCCCCCCCACCCCTACTCCCCACCCCCATTCTCCCCACCACGCACTCTCCTTAAAGCCAAAAGCCAAGCGTCGGGCCGTTTATGGCACGATCGGACCTTTTTTCAGGGAACTTTATCTCCTCTGTAGAGGATTTGCCCAATGGAATCGTGTTTGACCCACGGAGGCTCTCGCTTTGTGCTGACCCGTAGGTAAAGGTGGGCGGGTTGGCGAGCCAGAGAGAGAGAGTGGGAGAGAGAGAGAGGGAGAGAGGGAGAGAGGCGAGAGAGGAGAGAGGAGAGAGAGAGAGAGAGAGAGCGAGAGAGAGAGAGAGAGAGAGAGAGAGAGAGAGAGAGAGAGAGAGAGAGAGAGAGAGAGAAGAGAGAGAGAGAGAGGAGAGAGAGAGAGAGGAAGGATTGAAGGAATGGTAATAGGGAAGAGGAATGGTCACCGCAGCTAACCTGTATATCCCCCCCCCCCCTCACAGGAGCACCTCCCCGACCGCGAGGGGGCGGCCTACGCGGGCTACGGCGGCGTGTACGTGCACGACTACGGCGGCGCGATGATGCAGAAGGAGCAGAGCCTGATGCAGCAGCGGCGCGCCAGCAGGACGAGCCTTCAGGGGCAGCGGCCGGCGGGCCTCGAGTACGGGCCGCCCCTGGAGGATGCGCCGCCGCCGCCCCTGATGGACTACGGCGCCGCGCCCGTGCTGGAGTCGCCGGCGCTGGCCCTGGAGAGCGCCCCTCCGGAGGCCTGCCTGGACATGTACCCCTACAGACGGACCAGCCTCAGGCAAGCCAACAGCGACAAGTACAGCCAAGTGCCTCGTAACCTGTACACACCATTAAATAATGAAGATATTGGAGAAAAGACTTCATCTTTTGTGGGCAAGAAAAATAGTGACATCAAGATAATCAACAACACGGCCACGTATCAGACGCTGAGCGAAAAGAACAGCAACGCGCTGGCCAACATCGCGGCGGGTTACAACATATCAGGCGACGGCCCCGGCGGCTACCGGGCCTCGCAGATGCAGCAAGCCTGCCGCTCCGCCAGCTTCCGGCGCGCGAGCGAGCCGCCGCGGCCCGTGGGGCGCGGGTCCCTGCACGCCCGCAACAGGTCATGCGACGACCTGGCCTGCTCCTGCTGCGACGTCCCGCCGGGCCCGGAGTTCCTGCCTGACCCGGTGTCGTGCGCCTCGGACGCCGCCACCGACAGCGACGTCGACAACCGCGACGTGGGCAGCGGCGGCCGCGGCCGCTGGGAGTCGGCCGACGAGCGCGAGGGCACCAGGACGATATCGCGGGCGCACTTGCGGCGCGACAGCTTCGGCGAGGTCGTGTCGAGACGCTCGCCCAGCCAGGACAGCCTGGAGCAGATACGGACGCGCTCGCCCACGATCATGCTGGACGACCCGACGCCGCCGCCGCCGCCCGTGCACGACTCCTACGGCCGGAGGTCCCCGAGCCAGGACAGCTACAGCTACACGGCGTCGTCGCGGAGGTCCGGCAGCCAGGACAGTCTGGACCAGCAG